TGGGCTCCAAAATCACTGCAGATGGTGACTGCAGCCATGAAATTAAAAGACACTTACTCCTTGGAAGAAAAGTTATGGCCAACCTAGACAGCATATTAAAAAACAGAGACATTACTTTGCCAACAAAGGTCTGTATAGTCAAGGCTATGGCTTTTCCAGTAGTCATGTACGGATGTGAGAATTGGACTATAAAGAAAGCTGAGTGCCAAAGAATTGATGATTTTGAACTGTGGTGTTGGAGAAGACTCTTGAGAGTCCCTTGGACTGCAAGGAGATCCAACCAGTCCATCCTAAAGGAGATCCATCCTGGGTGTTCATTAGAAGGACTGATGTTGAAGCTGAAACTCCAATAATTTGGCCACCTAATGCGAGGAGCTGACATTTGAAAAGACCCTGATACTGGAAAAGATTGAGGGCAGAAGGAAAAGGGGACGACAGAGGATGAGATGGTTGATGGCATCACCGACTCAGTGGACATGAGTTTGGGTAAATTCTGAAAGTTGGTGATGGACAGGGAGGCCTGGCGTGCTGCAGTCCATAGGGTCGCAGAGAGTTGGACACGACTGAGCGACTGAACTGAACTGAACTGAACTGAACCTTTCTCACTAGAGGCATTGGCTTTAATACCATTCATATGCTGATGCTTTGAAGATGCACATCTTTAGCTCCTATCTTTCTGAGATCCAGCTGCCTGGCTGATTGCTCTGCTAGGAAGTTTCACGATCTTCAAAACTTGAACTATTGATTGTTTTCAATAAAGCTGTTTTCCTCCCCATCCATGGTTTCCCCTGCCTTGTGAATAGCACCTTTACCCACTCAGCTGCTCAAGTCCCCAACAGAAGTCACTCCTGTCCTGCTGTTTCCCGAACACCTGCAGTCAATCTATGAGTGAGTCCTGTTGGGTCCACCTTCAACGTGTAGCTAAAATTCATTTGCTTCTCTTCATCCCCACTGCTATTCTCTTCTCTTGCCTTCTTGTCTTCTGCAACAGCCAGTTATCTTTAGGAAAAGTAACCTGGATAACTTACATGCAGAGTATATTATGTGAAATGCCAGGCTGGATGAAGCTCAAGCCGGAATCAAGATTGCCAGGAGAAATGCCAACAGCCTCAGATATGCAGATGACACCACCTTAATGGCAGAAAGCGAGGAGGAATTAAAGAGCCTCTTGATGAAAGTGAAAGAGAAGAGTGAAAAAGCTGGCTTAAAACTCAACATTCAAAAAATGAAGATCATGGCATCCAGTCCCATCCCTTCATNGACATGACTGAGCCACTGAAGAACAACAACCTGGATAATGTCATTCCCTGGATAATGTCATTCCTGCTGAAAATACTTTAGACTATCAACAGATACTTTCTGAGATCCAAACTACAGGTACCGGGAAGAGAGTAGACAGACTCCCTGCCTTCATAAAGCTTACGTTCCAGTGGGGAAGAGTGGCAATAAGCCTATCATGACACATATAAAGTACTGCGGGTATGATAAGAGCCATGAAGAAGCTAACAGTAGAAAGTGACAAAGGCGGGGGAGGGAAGAGGGAGGTGAGGGTGCTCGGGAGCAAGGTGGGCAGAGGCGTCCTCTGGAGAACAGAGCAGCTCCACCACTGTCCATTCCGGCCTCTGTCTCGGAAAAACTAAAACTACACTTCCCAGACTCCTTTTCAGTTAGGGTTCTGGATGCAATTTGCATTCCACCCCTCAGACATACTTGCAGAGACCTTAATTTGGAGCTACGTTAAGAAGCGAAAGGAGGACAGGCCACAGAGCATCCACCTTGCTGGTGCTGGCCCAAACAGAGGCAACACAGCCCAGCTGCGGCAGCAGCTTCCCCTTGAGCTGAAGCCAGGAGGAGCCTTGGTGGCCACTTCTTTGGAAGTCTTCCCTGGAACTTCAGCCACCCTATGGCTGGAAAATTCATGACTTCTATAGGTACCCTTCCCCCAACCCCCATCACAGACTCATGTCTAATACTTAATCAGGATAGAGGTTCTGTCAAAATCTGAGACCAGCCACCACCGGGAGAAGAAAGCATAGGTAGTGAGCCAAGGACAGGATGCCAAGAGCTGAAGGAAGCTCGGAAGGGGACTCTTGCCTTATAGATGGGAGCGTCTGGTCCTTCAAACTGGAGACCTGGAGGACACAAGGAAAAGGACAATCAACACCATTTGAGAGGATGCCTCGGGCTTCCTGATGCTCTCACCTTCCTGTCCGACTCCTACATGTCCCTCCAGGGTCACCCCAAGTGTCACCTGCCCAGGGTGTTTGCTGACCACTCCCCCTTCCCAGGGCTCCATTAGATGGTGTCCCATGGCCCCCCTCAAACTCTGGTGGTTCTAAAGCCTCTGCTGCCCGCCGTCAGTTCTGGATGAGTGATGTCAATTAATCCAGTCCCTTCCAGATATCTCTGATACTGAAGGGAAGAAAGCAATAGATAAATAATGAATCATCCATATATGAGTTTCCCTAAACAGTCAAATTCAGAGACAGAAAATAGAATGGTGGTTGCCAGGGGCTGAGGGGGAAAAGGGAGTTAATGTTAAATGGATACAGAGTTTCAGATGGGAAGGTGAAAAGTTCTAGAGATGGATGCTGGTTGTAGAACAATGTAAATATACTTAATGCCACAGAACTGGACACTTAAAAATGGGTAAAATGATAAATTTTATGTTACTGTATTTACCCACAATAAAACAAGAACTATGCAAAATGGCAAATCATTTTTAAATGACTATTCAAAAACACTAACAATTTATCCCAAATGTTTTTTACTTTAGCATCTATCTCTGTTCTTATAATATGACTAATTCAAGTTCTAATTAAAACATATCCTATGTGCTCTTAGATAACTTACTAAACTCATCTGTGAAGTTGGCAAAATAATATTTACCTCACAGGGAAGTGATGCTGAACTAACTGGAAGAGTGTGTAAAAAAACACTCATGGAGGGGAGTTTTAACTGGCATAGACATCCTTTTCCTACGCACTCTGTGAACACGGGCTCATGCTTTGATGCTGGAAGACACCAAGGAGTCTATTACGTCCCTAAGATTCCTCAAGGCACCTAGATTTCTGTCCTCTTCTATGTTATCTCAGATCCCCATGGAGGTCACAGCTACTAAGGGTGATTCCCGGTACATTAAATGAAATCATGTAAAGCTTTGTGCATTATGCTGGATACACAGCATGAATGACTGTTTCCTTCTGCTCCCACCTTTTGCTTGAGAAGGAATAAGAAGAAAGTTGTTTCAGTCTTCTGAATGGAGAGGTACCTACCTGGGATGGGAATTGTGTGCAGGGGCATCACCTCCACCCCGTGGACCGGGTACCCAAAGGGGAGGTTGGCCTGAGCCAGCAAGGGTGGTGGGCGAGGCAGCCCTTCTCTGTAGGGAAACAAAACCATTAGCAGCTGCCTTGACACCTGTCTCTGGTTAGTTCTTAAAGTGATGTCTGTACCCAGAGCTTTGCGCTGCCAGTGGGGAGGAGTCAGTCATAGATGGTCCTAATCTGCCCTCCATTCTCTCTCCTCCTTTATTCCTGCTCCTCTCTCCAACCTCTAACTCCACAAAGAACTGAAGCAGGCTACAACAAAGCACATTCAAAATCAAAACCACGACTAGCAGGACTTTCTGGGGGTAAAGAATCTGCCTGTCAGTGCAGGGGACTCGGATTCAACACCTGGTCCAGGAAGACTCCATATGCCACAGGGCAACTCAGCCCCAGCTAGTGCCCCAACTACTGAGTTTGCACTCCCTAGAGACCATGCCACCGCAATAAGAATCCCGTGCACCGAATGTAGAGAGTAGCCCCTGCTCACCGCAACTAGAGAAAACCCCGTGGAGCAACGAAGAACCAACACAGCCAAAACAAAAACAAAAACAAAAGGTGAAAGGGAATTCCCTGGTGGTCCACTGGTTAGCACTCTCAAACTGCCGATGGTCCAGGTTCAGCCCCTACTTGGGGAACTAAAATTCCACACGCCACCATACTAGAACGGCGTACTAATAATATGATAGCACTCAGCATTTGTAGCTCATCACCAACGCAATGAACATGAACTTGAACATGAACTTGGGCAAATTTCAGGAGATGGTGAGGGATAGGGAGCCCTGGTGTGCTGCAGTCCATGGGGTCACAAAGAGTAGAACACAACTGTGTGACTGAACAACAAAAATTACTGAAGCAGCAGGCATCCCAGGCAGTAAGAGTGGCACCACCAGGCTCCTTTCCTTGGAACTACACACAGCATCTCAGCATCAAGCTACTGTAGCTTTGGCATCTGTGCTTTATCTCAATTTATTTTGTGTATTTCGTTAGCAAGATGCACACAGAGGTAATTGTTTCTTCATTTTACACCATTTCATTTTATGAAAAATTTCATAGAAACCGTCTACATTCAGATAGCAAGGGAAACTTGTATATGTATAGAAGGCTATTGTTGTTGTTTAGCCCCTAAGTCGTGTCTGACTCCTTTGTGACTTCATGAACTGTAGCCCACCAGGCTCCTCTCTCCATGGGATTTCCCAAGCAAGAATACTGCAGTGGGTTGCCATTTCCTTCTCCAGGGGATATTCCCAATCCATGGATAGATCCCGGGTCTCCTGCATTGCATGAGGATTCTTTATCACTGAGCCAGCAGGGAAACCCATCTGTATAGAGGGCTGTGTGTGTGTGTGTGTGTGTGTGTGTGTTAGTTCCTCAGTTGTGTCTGACTCTTTGTGACCCCAAGGACTATAGCCAGCCAGGCTCCTCTGTTCATGGCATTCTCCATGCAAGAATACTGGAATGGCTTCCCATTTCCTTCTCCAGGAGATCTTCCCAACCCAAGGATCAAACCCTGATCTCCTGCATTGCAGGCTGATTCTTTACCATCTGAGCCACCAGGGAAGACTCCTGAGAAACCAGGGCAGCCCATATAAAAGAAATATTCTCAACCACAAATAGGATTAAGAAAGGAGGAGAGAAGAATTAGTAAATAGAAAGAAAACTAAACAAATCAAAGAATGAAACAGTTAATTCCAGGCAAACCAAAACATTACATACAAAAGGAAATGTAAGAAAGGAAATGTAATTATAGTACAACAACCTCAGATAAGCAGATGATACCACTCTAATGGCAGAAAGTGAAGAGAAACTACAGAGTCTCTTGATGAAGGTGAAAGATCAGAAGAGTGAAAAGGCTGGCTTAAAGCTTAACATTCAATCCCTTGAAGGAGGGCATGGCAACTCACTCCAGTATTCTTGCCTAGAGAATCCCCATGGACAGAGGAGCTGGGTGGGCTACAGTCCATGGGGTCACAAAGAGTCGGACACGACTGAGTGACTAAGCGCGCGCGCGCACACACACACACACATAGTTTTTCCTGTAGTCATGTACAAATGTGAGAGCTGGACCATAAAGAAGGCTGAGAGCTCTTTCAAACTGTGGTGCTGGAGAAGACTGTTGAGAATCTCTTGGACTGCAAAGATGAAATCAAACCAGTCCATCCTAAAGGAAATCAACCATGAATATTCATTAGAAGGACTGATGCTGAAGTTCCAATACTTTGGTCATCTGATGTGAGGAGCTGACTCACTGGAAAAGACCTTGATGCTGGGAAAGATTGAAGGCAGGAGGAGAAGGCGACGACAGAGGATGAGATAATTAGATAGCATCACCTACTTGATGGACACAAATCTAAGCAAACTCTAGGAGATAGTGAAGGACAGGAGAGCCTGGCATGCTGCAGTCCACGGGGTCACAAAGAGTCTGACATGACTTAGTGACTGAACAACAAACAACATATGGCTTAACTGGGAGTTACAGTCATTCAGTCATAAAATGGAAATATTAAATGTTGAATTAACCAAAAATTATGTGGAGTGTGGAAGTGTACAAGAGGAGAAATCAAGAACTGAAGGGGGCTCTATGTTCATCTACTATAATAAGTAAAATGGATAATGTCTAAGGTTGAGAAATCTGGAGTTCACGGTATTAGTATTTTACTTAGAAATATGGTGGTAATTCCAGAGGAAACAGCTCGAAATGTTAGATGAGAATAGTGGCCTCTGAGGAGAAGCACTGGGAAGTAAGGAGCGGGATTAGGCCTTTTAGTATCACTTGCCTTGAAATAGTATACACATGTTATTTGACTTCTTAAAAATGCTTTTAAATTAAAAAAAAAAAAGAAAAAAGAACAGGATATGCCACACTAGCAGTAAAAGCTAGTAGAGTGTGAAGAAAATTGGGGAACCCACTTCTGCTGTCACTTTTGTCAAACCACATTCTATGCCCCTAATTTCATCAAAGACTGCACAGAGGGGAAGATTACTGGAAATTATTTGACCACATCCTGAAATGTTTGGGGTTTTTTTAAAAAAAGAACAGGGACTTCCCTGGTGGTCCAGTGGCTAAGGCTCCTCATTCCCAGTACAGGCAAGGGGTGTGGGTTTGATCCCTGGTCAGGGAATGCTGCAACTGAAAAAAAAAAAAAAGAATCCTACATGTGGCAACTAAGACCCCACAGAGCCAAATAAATAAATATAAATATTAAAAATAAAATAAAAATAAATAAAGCAGAACAAAGAACTTAAGTTGGGTTCTCTGGGAAGCAGACGCCGAGAAGCGTTTGAGGACATAGTGTTATTTTGACGATTCCAGGGAACATGGGCAGAGGCAGGGTGAGGGGAGGAAGCCAGCAAGGGTGAGTTATGAGCCGATGGGGCTGCTGCGGGCAGCTGGGCTCAGGCCTGAGCAGAACCCATCTCAGAATTCTCCTAACCATGAATGAGACAGCTGGGGTATTTATCCACTAACTCCTACCTACCATCAACTGAGGGCCACCCCAAGAGCTGTTCATTCCCAACCGCTGCCCCATTTTTGGCCTGCCCCAAGGAAGCCAGCACACTTCCACAGCAGAGCGGGTCTCAGGTGGGAGGTTGCAGGCGTGTGAGGTAAAGAACAGCCGGTGTGGAAGGGAGGGTCCATGAGGGCAGAGCGGATGTGCAGGGGATACAGGAGGAGTGCCGACGCTCTCTGCCTCAGGACGGAAAGGAGCGGAACCTGCTTTTCCTTTGTCCAGGACTGAAGTTTCTCAAAAAGGGGCTGGGATGCACTGTACTGTGTGTCCTCTAAGAGGGAAAAGGGGAGAGAATTGAGGGGACAGAGGAAGCTGAGTGAGAGGGACCATCCACATTAAACACCCTCCCTCCGAAGGCCTAGGATGGAAGACGCTTCCCTTGTACGGTATGAGGGAACATGTAGATAGAACTACTGCTTGTTTTTCCCCACACTCTGCTGCTCTTTCAGGCTCCTTTATTCATTGTTGCCTGGTGTGTGTTTCATGAAGGGAAGATAGGACCACCAGCAGACAGGGCTCTTCTGCTGCTGCTGTCTTCAGTCACTCAGTTGTGTCTGACTCTTTACAACCCCATGGACTGCAGCATGCCAGGCTTCCTTGTGCTTCATCATTTCCCGGAGCTTGCTCAAACTCATGCCCATTGAGCCGGTGATGCCATCCAACCATCTCATCCTCTGTCATCCCCTTCTCCTCCTGCCTTCAATCTCTCCCAGCATCAAGGTCTTTGCCAATGAGTCAGTTCTTCCCATCAGGTGGCCAAAGTATTGGAGCTTCAGCTTCAGCATCAGTCCTTCCAATGAATATTCAGGACTGATTTCCTTTAGGATGGACTGATTGGGTCTCCTTGAAGTCCAACAGGCTCTCAGGAGTCTTCTCCAACACCACAGTTCAAAAGCAGCAATTCTTTGGTGCTCAGCTTTATAGTCCAACTCTCACATCCATACATGACTACTGGAAAAACCA